GCGGCCGGGGTAGACCAGAAACGTCATAATGAGGTTAAGCTTGTAACTAGTTAGAGCTTCCACCGACCAGTTAAGCTTCGGGGGGCAAGTTTATCCCTTACCTAACTTACAGCTCCCTTTCACGAATCACACCCCATCAATTTGGTGTATCGGAATCGTACGTCATGGTATTAATACGGTCTCTACAGAAAAGCGCTGCATCTGCCACGCGGCTCGCTGTTAAATCACAATTCCAGAGAACCAGTCTTCCGATAGTAAATTCAAGATTAGCTTCCACGATGTCCCCAAAGGTGAGCTTTCTCTAGTCACAAGCACTTCGCATCGGCATAGAAAAGGAATTGACTCGTCAATTGACGATTCCAGCTCAATGACCCGTCTTTATTCAAGACGGACGTGTGCTACGTGAATGGCGAATGGGTAAAAGCTGCCTCGGGCAAGACGTTTGAGGTCCACGACCCCGCGACAGGAAAGCTGGTTGGAACTTGCCCCGAATTCGACTCGAAAGACACCGAGAAGGCCATCGCCGCCGCCGCCGAGGCATTCAAATCCTTCCGCACGAAGACCGGCCGCGAGCGGTCCAAGTTGTTACGGAAATGGTACGACCTGGTAATGGAGAATTCGGAGGACTTGGCGAGGCTGATCACTTTGGAGAACGGCAAACCTTTCGCGGACGCAAAGGGCGAGGTCAATTATGCGGCGCAGTTCTTCGAATGGTTCAGCGAAGAGGCTCCGCGGGCATACGGCGACACGATACCGGCGACCATACCCGGTAACAGAGTGGTGACGCTGAAGCAGCCCGTGGGTGTCTGCGGGCTGATCACGCCGTGGAATTTCCCTGCCGCGATGATTACGCGTAAGATTGGTCCTGCCCTCGCTGCAGGCTGCACCACAGTGTGCAAGGCCCCAGGCGAGACGCCCTTCACATCACTGGCACTGGCGGAACTTGCGCACCGAGCCGGGATACCGAAGGGCGTCGTGAACGTAGTGACCGCCCTCAAAAACACGCCCTCAGTTGGTGAGACTCTGACGACGCATCCTACTGTCCAGAAGGTCTCCTTTACAGGCTCTACGGGTGTCGGACAGCTTCTTATGAAGCAGGCGTCATCGACACTAAAAATCTTATCTATGGAATTGGGCGGAAATGCACCATTCATTGTGTTTGACGATGCCGACGTCGATGCAGCAGTTGCTGGTGCCATTACGTCCAAGTTCCGTTCATCGGGCCAGACCTGCGTTTGCGCAAATCGTATCTACGTCCAGAAAGGCGTCTACGACGAATTTGCCAAGAAATTTGCCGAGAAAGTCAAGGGTTTCAAGGTGGGCCACGGCTTCGACGAAGGCGTTACACACGGTCCCCTAATTCACGATCGTGCCGTTTCCAAGGTCGATGCCCATGTGAAAGATGCGGAGCAGAAAGGTGGAAAAGTCGTCGTGGGTGGCCAGAAGATGCCGGACCTCGGGTCCAACTTTTATCAACCTACCGTGATCACAGGCATGACAAAAGACATGGCGATCGCGGGCGAAGAGACATTCGGCCCTGTTGCCGGTCTCTTTCCCTTTGAAACCGAGCAGGAAGTCGTTGACCTGGCGAACGCCGCTGAGGTCGGATTGGCCGGCTACTTCTTCTCGAGGGATCTGGAGAGGATACACCGGGTATCAGAAACACTGGAGGTCGGCATGGTAGGCGTCAACACTGGCCTTATCTCTGACGCAGCCGCGCCATTTGGAGGTGTCAAGCAATCTGGCTTTGGTAGAGAGGGATCCAAGTATGGTATTGAGGAATACCAGCATATTAAGATGATCACATACGGTGGTATGGGCAAGCCGCTGCAGAGCTAGAAACATATGTAGGCATTAAGGGAATTTGATGACGAAACGAGATATTAAATAATTGCTTGAAATGATATTCTTTGATATTTACCTACATTTTCATTGCTACATCCTGATGATAATACCTATCTAGTTAGACTAATACGTTATGCTTCTGAAGCTGGGCGAGATACCTCATTATGCGGGATACTCGTTTTAGTGCATATCTGCCACAAAAATAGGTATCGCTTATCCAAGTGTCTCTGATCTTCAAAATTTCCGACTAGGGAGCTCAAGTAGCACCCCATATCACGAACCACATCAATTGAGCCATGATACGCCAACCATTCAACTCGGTCATTGGCCGCACGAGGGCTGATTTTAGCCGGGTCACGGAGGGAATCACGGCTTCTCTGCGCGCATTCTCCTCCGCCCAGCAGCTTGCCGCGGCACCTCAAGACGGCGACAATGGCAGCAGCCCGCGACCGACTGGAAGGCAACGTGCCGCCGCCGCCTTCTCTGACCTCGTAGAGATGAACAACGGAACCTCGCCACGCTCCCCTCAGAAATCGAACACCATGTTCGGGAAACTCGACCTGCGGTCCGACTCCGCAACCCTCGCAGTTCCGGGCGCTTCCTCCCCCGGCGGTCCCAACATCATCCGTGGCGGTCTACGAGGTGGCTTCAGAGGCAGAGGCGGTTTCAGCCGTGGCGGAGCGCCGAGTCGAGGTGGATTCGGCGATTCGGCACACCGTGGCCGTGGTCGTGGTCGTGGTGGGGGCGGCGAGGGAGGATGGGGAGGACAGGGTGGATTCGGCGATCCGGCACACCGTGGCCGTGGTCGTGGTGGGGGCGGCGAGGGAGGATGGGGTGAACGGGGTGGACGAGGTGGATGGGGTGAACGGGGTGGACGAGGTGGACGAGGTGGACGAGGTGGACGGGGTGGACGGGGTGAACGGGGTGGACGTGGACGTGGACGTGGACGAGGAAACCAGAGAGACAAATATGCCGAAGAAGTAAAAGCAGGAGATGACTGGTCTCCCGAGGTCATCGCCATGCGGGAGGCCAGGGAACGAGGCTCGCTGCACCAGTTCGATCCTACAATCTCGATAACCGACCTCGTGGGCTGGGGCCCCGCCGTAGCGACGGCCAAGTCGAGCTTCGCGAAAGACGAGACGGTGCTGCGCCAGGCGCGCATCCTCGGCGGCGGGCAGGCGTTCCATCCTCTCAATTACCCGCGATCGGGCGAGATGTGGGCGCAGTACAACGGGGGCACAGGCGTGTTCTTCCCCACGGAGGAGGTGAAGAAGTGGTCGGCAGACGCGATGGGGTTGGAAGCTTTCCCGCCAGTCCCCAAAGAGACCAAGGACGCGGTTCTCCAGGACGCGCTGCTCGGCACGTACCGGGGTCCACAGTATGTTGAACTTGGGGATACGCTCGGGGTCGTGCGGAACTATGTCAAGAGAGACGCCTCGTGGAATACCAATGCACAGCGGCGTATCGAGGAGAAGATCAAGAGTCTGCTACCTGGCGGGAGGACCGGGCCTGCGACGGCTGCCGGTGGAGCGAGGGCAAGCATTTAGAGACAAAAAAAGCTCGGAGAGGATAAACATTGAAGAAGATATGAGACATTGAAGATGATTGAGTGTCCATAGACAGCTAGACGACGGCTCTGACACCTAACTGTACCATACAATCCTGTAAAAGAGCAACCATATTATGTACAAGTACACTACCACACCTAGTAGTCCGATTTACATCGTCTCTGGCATAAGAATACTGCTTCTAGGCAATACAATGCTATGCAGCCAAGCACCCATCCTTCATAAAATGTATATAACGAGCTGATAAACACGTCGCTCTATTTCGACTCCGCGGCCTTGACAGCGTTCTTCTCCGCACCATCAACCTCAGCAGTAGCAGCCTTAATGACCTTCTCGAGCTCTTTATCCGCCGTCCTCTTGAGGTCGGGGCCCAGCGTACCGTCCTTCTTCCAGGTGGCATGCAGCTTGTCCCTCTTCTGGCGGACGGCGCGTATGCGGTCGCGCCACTCGTGGGCGACGGCCTTGGCCCTCCTGACGAGGTCGTCGCGGCTCTCGGGCTCGACCTTGAGGACGAGCTCGAGCTCGTTGTCCGGGTCGCGCTGGGGCTGCTGGTTGAAGTCCGGGCTCGCCTGCACGGCGCTCATGATGGGCTTCACGTACTCGGCCTCGTGCACCAGCAGCGACACGGCCCGCCCCCCGCGCGGCACCACCTGCGCCAGCTCCCGCAGCGGGTACGCCTCCTTCTCGGCCTTGTCCTTCTTGCTCACCGCCACGCGCAGCGCGCCCACCGCGTCCGGGTCGAACCGCGCCCCCATCTGCATCTGCCTCAGCGACGCCTTGAAGTGCTCCGCATGCTTCTGTAGGCGCGACTCGACGTCGGCGAAGTCGAGCGGCTCGTCGGGGGACGGCTGGGGGTGCTTCGGTCCGTCGTCTGCGTCGGTGCTAGTGCCAGTGCTGGTGCTGCTACCCTTGGCCGGTTTCTCGGCCGACTTCCCCCGCGCGGGCTTCTGGCTGTCTTCTTTTTTCTTCTTATAAGCCGTGGGAGACGCATGGAAGGCTCGCGTGCTGAGAGAAAGGTGTAGTGGTGACCTCGCAGCGGCGGGCGCAAGGAGTGGTCGTTCACAGCGTTGGCATATCGGCCGGGCGCTTCCCAGTGCTACATCGTAGCTACTGTCGTGAGGGTGAGCGAGGACACTTAGAGAGTCAATTGAGCAGACTTACGTTCTCCCTGTCTGGGACCGGGCAAGTCCCTGACGTAGCAGAGCTCGGGCTACTACTGTATTGCTCATTTTTGTACTGTTATCTAAAAGGCTTTGGCTTGCTTGGAGCTCCCTCCTAACTGCTTGTGGTAGCATGCACTAAGGTACTATCTAACAATGAATTGGTGCTCCATATCTAAGGTCGATTAGCGTATCGATAAGAGTAAAGAGATTAAATCATAAAATTCCAGGTGAGTGAGTGAGTGAGGCGCATTGTTGGATTGCAAGGTAAATATTGATGTTGTAGAAGTGCGGGGTCCTTCATATACACTGTCCATCGTACCTGCCACAGCATCTCTACCGAGGGCGAGGGCGCATGCTTTGACTAAAAAGAACAATGTTTTTTGGAACTGAACAACCAGATAATGCCTATAGAATGGCAAAAGGATGTTCTCGCCCGGGCTCGAACCGGGGATCTTCTGTGAGCTTCAAGATACGAATCTTTGTAAGACAGACGCCCTAACCAACTAGGCCACGAAAACCATAAACTGACGGGAAATTTGGAAGGCCATAGAACTTATATAGGAAAAGATGTAAAGTTTTGCAGACACTATCCAGTTGTTACAGCTTTCCTTATATCACCAATGTATCTCTCTATAACATAACCTTTACAACAAAGAGTACTTACGAGGTATTCTCAAAAAAGATTACTGGTACAAGATTAATTTTCAGCTTGTAAGAAATGCCTTCTGTTGAACCAACTCACCAATGTTGGCCAATGAATTATTGTCGGCGGGAAATACTTGGACATGGTTTGATTCAAATTACATATGCCTATTGTCTTCTTTTATCCAGTAGTATGTCTAGTAACGCACATCCTTCTATTTAAATCAAGCCGGCATTTCTTTTATGTACTATCAAGAAACGTCCCAAGCTTCGATACCAACTCCAGCAACCAGGATCCTCCCTCCATCTTTCGTATCCAGCTTATTCTGATCCCCATCTATACGGTCTTCTCTCACGACCTCCAAGTCCCCAGCATCCGCAACGCCGCTATACCGATCATCAAGCAAGTGGACCCGCAGGGAGGCAGATTGCCAATCGACGAGCCGCCACGTCTTGACGCGCTGGTCGTTGCTCGAGGTGACGACCACCGCATCCCGCTCTCCGTTCTCAAGCCGTACTATTCCTAGACCCGTCACTGCGGCGGCGTGCGCAGAGCGCACGATGGATTTATTTCGGACCTCGTACTGGCTTGCTTGTCCGGCGGGGCGATGTAGATGGACCACACCGATCGCATCGTCATCGCCGCCTGTGACGACTAGGTACGACGTTCCGGTATCGGTGGTGGTGCTGCGCATGTCGAGCGATTTCACGGTACTCTGGTGGAGTTTCGTGACGAGTATGTCTTGCGAATCCTCGGTTTCGTCTGCGGGGGATCGTATGTCTGCAAATACAGCTAAATAGCCATCAGTGGCAGCTGTCAGAACCTGCGGATAACATCCGTCCGTGAAATCCAGATGTCTAAGTTGTGTGAGGCAGGCGCCGGTATACGTCCGTCTGCCTAATAGCTGGAACCCTTGCCCTGCTGAGTAAAGATAACTCTGCACCGTAGAGTTTGAGAGCGTCATAGAGATGCAAAATCTAGGCTCTGTCCGTGGCTTCTTTGATTCGATGTCATGATCACCAACCTTATCGTCAGCGCTGGTATCATCGCTCAAACACTGCACGTCGAAATCTGTAATTCGCAGATCGCCCACTTCGGAGCGATCGGGGAACACAGCCTCACACACGACGCCAAGCGGACAGATGTCGCTTTCTAGCGCCGTAACGCGCCAAACGAAGAACTCCTCGTTACCGCCGCTGCTGAAGAGATATTGATCATTGGACCACTTCAGCTTCTGAATGCCCGTATTGTGCTTCTCCAATGCAAGCACGCAGCGCAACTGCTGCTCTCCTCGATTGCTATCGCGAAGCTCCCATATGCGGATCATGGTGTCCTCGGCGCCCGTGGAGACGTATTTCCCCGAGGCCGAGACCGCCTTGATCTCGCGGCCGTGACCACCCGTCTTCAGCGGAAGATGCGGCGCGCACGTCTGGGAGAAGATCTTCATCTGTGAAGCCTTGGTGCAGGCGAACCTAAGACCTTCGGGGTTACCCCTTATCTGCACCTGATCGAACACTCGATGTCCGCCGCCGCAGTCGATCGTCGTAATCTCGCGCCGTTGCGTCGCATTCCAGACTACGAAGTATTTGCCGCGGAAGCCGCAGAGCATGAGATCGCGTTTTCCGTCTGGCTTGTCGAATAGCCAGGACCCTTCGATCAGGGGCCCGAATGGTGGTTTTGTCTCGTGAAGTAAGCGGAGCTGGAAGTTTCTTGTCGTGTTGAGGATCTCGTAGACTCTGTATTTCCCATCGCGGGCAGTCGTGAGGAAGTAAAGCGGCGAGTGCTCGGATTGCCGTGGTAAGGGAAGAATAGAGGTGACCTTGTCACCGATACTAACTTCTATAGTTAGGATGGGAGCTTGCCCCCCATTAGTGGCCAGGTCAAAGACTGATATACTCCCGTTTCTAGAGCCGAGGATAAGGTAGTTGTAGCACCATGCGGCACTAGTCACGATGAATTCATCGGGTACTACGACCTCCGTTCGTTGTATCAAGGTGCGGTTTTGATCAAGGCGGAGAAGTTCCGCCTTCGTGCTTCCGAACACTGTAACGAGGAGTTCGATATGCCTATCAAGTTCTTGGGCGGAGTTTGGACGCGTATGTGGAGAGGTAGCTAAGGTATCAGAAAGACAAACTATTTCCGTGATCTTTCGCTCTGCTTTGTGGAATGACTGAAGCGAGTTACCACTGGCCTCATCATAGTAAAATAACTCCCCGTTAGGAGCTCCAATGAAAGCTATCGCAGCTCTTCTCGAACTTCTAAGGATTGTGTATGATTGTATGGTCTTCCGAATAGCATCGGTGATTGCGAGCTCTTTCCACTCTGTCTTGCTATCGAAGCTGCCGAGAAACAGGCGGCCTGACCTTGTCGTGATAAGTAGCCTGTTGTCTGTGATGAATGCAAAGCTTTGAAACATCTCCTTTCCATTCCCATGCTTAAAGGATGAGAGAGAAGAGCCAGTTCCAACGTTTTGCTGTTGGCATTTTTCGATAAGAAACATTGGAGATACATCAAGTTCTTGAATTGACCTCTGGTAATGGCCGGCGTCGTCTGTTGCGTCGTTCAAGGTCTTTGACGGGTAATCAGAGCCGTGTTCCATGAGCGCGATCTTGCCATCTCCACCACCAGTAGCTATCAAAAAACCATCTTCAGTAGCAAGCATGGCGTGCGACCAGATTTGCTTCCCGCTGTGATTAGAAAAGCTCTCGTGGTGGATCAAGTTGGAGGGAGGCCGACTGGAGTTATGTGGTGACCCTATTTTAGGTCTGCTTGAAGTCGCCTTTAAACCTGCGTCTAGTTCGAGGTGCCACTTTTGCATCGTAGCATCTTCTCCAAATGAATAAACTTCAACCACATCACCCCTGGAACGAAGACCTGAACTTTTAATCTCGACTTGCCATATCCTGGATACATGGCCCATAGCCATCGCGACACACCTCGACTGGCTATCAACTGGCCCTATCGAGCCGACAATAGAGTCACCAAACCCAGTCTGCCTCGCGCCGGAGATTTGTGCCCCGTACTCGTTATCGTTATTCGTAGGTTCGTTACTTCGTTCTGTAATATCCCAGATTCGTATTGTCCTGTCGTCACTGCAGCTTGCGAGCAGTCTGATCGTTTCCCCAGAACTCATGACTATCTCGGGCGAAATGTGAACGCCGAAGATCGAGCCTTCGTGGCCCGAGAAAACGAACAGTACCTCGCAGCCGACTGATTCTCTCCTGTCCTGTGCACCTGTTATCCCCATACGGCGACCGTAGCCATCAGTGTCGACATCAGAGTCGAGGTGACACTTCCAAACCACAATCTCGCCAAATACAGTCCCGGCAGCCACAAGCACGCAGTTCTGATCAGCCCAGAAAAAGTTCCCGGAGTAGAGGATCGGCCGCGAAGGGGACCGTACCCGACCCAAAAGAAGCGTATTCTGGTCTGCGCTTACATGTCCCTGGATGACTTCATTATGCGCCGTAAGCAGAACGACGCGACTATCGTCAAAGGGTGAGATACGGCCGTCAAATATCCAGTCAGGAGCTATAGCTTCGGGCGCAGAAAGTGCCGTGCTCGCCGAGCCGGATTTCTCAAGAGTGCTATCACTGGCATTCGTAGAGCTGGCACCAACCAGCTCCTCTACGATACGAGTAGGTAGTACTTTAACGACATGGCCGCCCCAGACGAGAATGTGGGAAGGGCTTCTGGAACCGCCGGAGCTGCTGCGGTCTTCAGCGGCTGGGGGCACGGAAATCCCGTGGATAGGCTGCGCATGGAAGACCGGCAATATGCCACAGAGCCGTGAGGCCGCGACATCGTAGATCTTTATATCTGTGTCTTCGGCCGCGAGTAGGTATTGCTTCTCACCCAGCGTCAAAAACGCAAGCGCCGTGATCGGGCTTAGCACATACTCGCGGCGGAGCAAGCCAGGAGATGCCGCCTGTAAGTGGTAAACGTTAATAACCGCGTCATATGAATGTGCACTCTTCCTCATACACGATAGCTTTTAGGTCGTGTCTTTTGATATCATTGATTTTCTAAGGATTTGGTGGGACTCATGTTGTGGGGCCTTGGCACATGAATGTTTTTTTTTTTGGTTTTTTTTTTTTTGGCAAACAAGAAGCAGACTTACCTCGTGAGACATCACCCAAGTATCTTCATAACGGTGCCATATGGCAGCTCAAAGGGGTGAATTATGCAGGGCACGGCTTTTCGATCATGGAAAGTTACTGACGGGGCTACAATTTCCCGTGGATGGGACTCTGGTATACTCGACACCCAAGCACGTGATTAGCGCTGTTGAAGCTCTCGCAACAATTACACAAATTTACGTAGCGCCCATTAGTACGATACAAAGCTCAATCTGATTTTGAATGCGGTCATATATTTCATTATGGTATCGAATTATCGAACTACCCCGGGTATTCTCGAGGTACATATTGACTCTCTTGCAACCCCCCTTAGACACACTCTGGTCGTTTAACCCAATCGTAACCCAACCAAGCGCCGGCAAATGCACACTGAAGAAATAGAAACCCTCTAGTCTAATCTCACATGACAAGCATTCGTCATTATGTTTGTCAACATCCCGCTCAGACCCGGGAATGAGAGTACGGCTCGTAAGCGAGATCTGATCGAGCGCCACCGCGTTGAGGGGCGCCGTAGTTGTAGCCACCGTAAGCAGAACCGTGGTTTTCGCCGATGGGAGCGTAGGAGCCAGCTGGAACATGCTTTTCGCTGTCCAAGTGACGCGAGGCTTTGCCGTAAGGGCGGTTCTCCGGCTTGCAGCAGCAGATGGAGAATAGCCAGAAAAGGCCGGCGCCGATAGCAAAGGCGACGCTGATCCAGATAACGGCCAAGAAGCTGTTGTTGAGGTTGGCCTTGACC